AGAAGATTGTCAAGCGCCACCACCATTGCTTCACTGAATATACGGTTTGTTGTGTGTGTGTGTGTGTGCGTACGTGCGTCGCTGTTGGTGTCTGTTGAGGAAAGTACTGCAGTGCACTTAAAGGAGGAAGAGAAAGCGGACACACAGTGGGTGGGGAGGATGAATGCGAGAGGGAGGAAGACAGAGATACAGTGGAAGGAGGAGGTGAAATGCTAGCAATCCATGGCGCTCATTAGGTAGCCGTTACCTTGTGTAGGTCCCGATATCATTGACGACTGTCCAAGAACTACGATCCGCGAGCAGATATACCTGGCCCTGACACGCCGGAGAAGGAAAAGAAGAGATCACTTACACTCACTTCACGTCGTGGCCACGTGACACTGCAACGTTCGGGCTGCGTCATATAACGACGCCTGACGACGTCATCATCATCAGAACTAACATTGATTGGCGTGCTGTTGATCTCTACTACGATAGGCGGTGTTCCGTATATGGTACTCGATCACAGTTCTATGTGACCTGACTTCTTTTCAACTCATTGAGTGACAGTCTTACGAGCATTTTGTGTGTTAACTGTACATCCGGAAGTTAGCACGCAACTGTGATAGTAGGATCGTCTCCTACCCACCGGTACAACTTATCGATAGTATTTGCATTGCCCTCAATCCATAGCGAGACACTTTTTGTGATGCCGATACAAATTACTTGCAAACTTCACACTTCAAACACGTGATTTGTGCTATGTCCTACTATATACATAACAATGTGCATGCTGCAATTTTGCTGCATATCCTACGTTACTACGTGCATCACTTGCTGCACTACTGCCTGCCATCATTGATCGTGCACTTGATCGTTGCTATTGATCATTGATATTGAGACGAGTATGCTCCTAGTTTGATCTCTAACCTGCAGATACCTGTCACGGTACCACACACCAGTCTATCAGTTGCTAGACAATCAATCCGATCACACCAGTCCCTAATCGCAACACATGACAGTATCAAAACATGACTTAATAATTATCGAGTCTCATCTCACTAATGTGTTCGCATTGTCTTTAGTACATTATCATTATACAGTATCTACTTGATACTCATGTATTTTTCTACCAACCCCAATGAACGTGTCGAGTATATAATACATATAGATAAAGGCAAGTAGCCATAGAGCTCTAGGTATTAACAGCACGTGGCAGTGTGATGTGGTGCGTTAATCATAAGAATAGTTGGACATTGATTTGTCGAGCGGGAGCGACCCAAACTGGGACTTGTCCACCGCAATGTTCGGGCGGCACATTGCAGCCGTCAGCGTACAGTCAGACAGCTTTCTCTATCAGTGAGAAGCAAGACAGCTGCTTGTCGCCGTTCACTGCGTATTGTCATATGCCAGAACGGTGAGGCGAGTGAGCGAAACGCGGTACCTCCCATATGCTTCAATCGTGGATCCACGGGCTGGCAGTGGCATGGCAGCAATCGATCGGGCTGGCCAACCACGTGGCGTCGTAATACAGACGATTGCGAAATTCAGTCAGAGATCACGTAAAACATTCGTGTATGATGCAGTGCGTGGCTGCCTCCTTCCACGTAACATTAAACGAACGAACACTGGATATCAGACATCAATCTGCCTCACTTCTACTGAATCTTCGTCCTGTGATATTAAATAGTTTATTGTCCATCTAATGTTGTATTATGCCGTATTATACGTCTCTCGACAATTCCTGCTACGCTTATTACTAGTAATACCGGAAGTTATGATACTGTGAAAGTTGTAGCAAAAGAGTTTTAATATAATGCAGCTCACAATGTGGTCATAGATCAAATGTTTTAAGTCTTCTTACACTTACTTAAAACTTTTATAACAAATTATACAAAAATAAACTAAAAAGTAGCCATACAGTAACAATTTCAAGTTTGAGAAGATGAAATCAATATCGCAACGTATTATTATTATTATTATTGCCACTTGTGCATATGCAAAAAATGGCCAAAAAAATAAAGTAAAAGTATAATTGCACCGATTGTACCTATTATAGCGACAACAACTGCACTTGCAATTAATATTATAGCAAAAAATACAGCAAAAATGATTGTCCATACAAATACGATGCTGAACGCATACAGATTCATAATGAAGACAACAACTGATGCAGAAATGAGAAACCAAAATTCCCATGACACCACAGAATCTGCCAAAAATAGGCTTACAATAGCACAAGCAAAGAAGGCTGCATGGAATAAAAATTGAACAAAAGCAAATGTGCCCATTACTGGGTTTTGGAATGGATAGGCAAATTTATAGCAACAGCATGTATTTCGAAGCTCATCAAACTCCTCTTTTAGGTTAGGAAAATGACTTTTGATCAGGGAAATTTTTTCCCTTTCCTTTTCGCTTTCAATGCCCAATACATCAGCAATATCAGTCTGCTCTAGAGCATTAAGAAAATCAACACAAATGCCAATGGAAAATTCCTGCGACCAAAAGTAGGTGAGGAAATAGAAATTAAGGTGTCCAAAAATTGGAAGAACATAGCCAGCAACTAACATGTACCACAAACAGCCAGTAATGCGAACGGATTCCTCGTTTGTACAGTCTTCAAATATATGAAGGTTTTCTGCATGTATCAAAATTCCAATACTTATAGTCATCACCACCTGAACTACCATTTGTCCAATTTCGTGCAGAACAAAATAAACTTGAAGGCAGATAGCTGATGTTGAACTTTTACTAACAAGTCGCCCTTTCATCTCTGGTGGAAAACGCTTTTTGTTCACATTGCAGATAGCAGCAACGGAAACAGCAAACCGTACAATATACACAAAGACTACCATTAAAATTGCTGATACAACAAAAAGGGCAAAGCTAATTTGATTTGCTTCAGTGTCGACGTAATAGGCTTCCGATAATATGACCTCAAACATTGCGCAAATCAACAGTGGATAAAAGATGAGCTCGGACATAATCATTCTTCCAACATCGAAAGCATTTCTTGTAGCATTTAGACAGGAGTCCTGACATTGTATAGCCGTTGTACTGTTGTCCGGGTTAACATCTAGTTGCTCAGTTTTCCTGCATGCTGCTCCACACCTCACAAAAGGACACCCACAAAAAAGAACAAATGCGTCAAAAAATCCTAAAACAGTGGCAAAAGTGCTGAGGTGAAGGTGAAGAATGTTAAAGATATTGTTATTTCCACATGTAAATCTTACTACAGACAAGCCAAGCACTATACAAAGTGTGAGCAATTCAGCACCTACCCAAAGGGTACGGCCACAGATATTTGTAAGAGGAAAAGCCATGTTGCTGTGTATCAACCATCCCTTGGACCTGGCTCGACGTAGAACTGGTGTCATACTGTTGAGTTTGTGCAACGGCATATTGTCACGTTTGCAACAACCTATCCAATCGATAGCTTGAAAACAACAATCTAACTTGCAACGTGGCTCCTCGGGAACCGTTGGCTCATTTAATATGCTTTTATGAACAATGTCAATCGTTTCAATATAGAAAGCATTTTTCTTAACTTCACCTGCATTCAACCCCATGTCATGCAGTTTCGCTTCTTCTTCTTCTTGCTGTGCTTGAGTTGCCAAGGGAGAAGATAATGGAATATGTACTTGCTCAATGCTTGTATTGATCGCAGATATGCTACCAGCAATGGTGGGTCCAAGTGGCGATTGGGGAATGATTTCCACTACTTGACTGGAAACGAGCACACTGACCTCAAGTGCCGGCGGTGATTGAGAGTCTGCATCGGGTGAGCGCGGCACTTCATACTGCGGAGGAGACTGCGCCGACTCGTGCGAAACGTCGTTTTGGCTCATAGCAAACTTGCTCCGATCGTACACACGCCGTTTGTAACAAAATCCTGCGACACACCGCCGACTCGGATCTTCCAAAATGCGAACTGCTATATACGCGGGGCGAGGTCCGTATTATGTTGTGTTGTCTTGATCAGCCCCCTTACTCCCACAAGATAATTGAAACCATGGTGGTGACGCGCGAATCTTCCCGCCAAAAAGCGCTCTTTTGATTGGTCTCTCTTGCGCATGGTCCCACCTACCTAGAATACATTAACCAATCAGAACTCAGATCTAGTGCGCATGCGTCTGCGCATTGCACGCACACACGTGGGCGTCGCCGCATCGCGGTGCAAACTCACAATCGCTCTTTGTCCCGCGGGCTGGAGTAGCGCACGGTACTAGCGGCGATGGAAGCGCTATCAGCAGAGAAGTGGTCGCTGTGTTTGGACAACGAGGGACGTGTCTTGGATCAGTACAACGTACGGAAAATAGTTTTTCACAAGGTAATCAACGAACTAATAGTGATTAGTATGTGGGCATTGTATAATTATAAACCTAATAGCAGCTTTTTACTAGTGCATATATATATGTAGGGAATATGTGAAGATATACGACATGAAGTTTGGCCATTTTTGCTGGGGTATTACCCGTTCAATTCAACCAGCGAAGAAAGAAAGAGAATCGATGACGAGAAAAGGTATAACTGGCTATACTATAGTCTCTTATTCTCAGACCATTTTCCCTCTCCAAATCATATTAAAACGTATGTGCATGTTCATATCCTAACAGTTTTGCCAATTTCTCTGGGTGGTTTACACATTCAGTGAAACTGGCTTGAGCATAACTACTCACGCAACATCAAGCTATGATAAGTAGTTCATTTTCTTTTTCACATTGAAGACGTAGTCTTATGCTCACAGGGTTTAGTAGACTTTATACCACTGCAGGAGTGTAGCTAGTAGCTAACAGTTTGTCTTGTGTTGCTCTAAAAGAAGCTGTTGTGTCTCAGAGTGTATACGCACACCTCCACAATTGGGGTGAAACCGCAAGAGGTCTTTTGGGCCTCCCATTTACACCGTCAAAGCAAACAGGGAACATGAATGGGGGAGGGCTTACACCAGGCATGTCAATACTTTCACACTGAATGCAGTGTTAATTATTGTGCCATGTGGTTAGTTAGCTACATACCGCAGTATGATTGAGATATTTTTCACAACTTCTTAGGGTAAGGTATGAGTCTTTGCTGGCATCTTGGAGCAAATCCAACAACTTTGAAGAGTTTGATGACAATTTTGCAGAGGATGCAAAAATTATCGGTACGCCTAACATTCTATCTGTATTTTGTATTGTTGTACACCTTTTTGGATTCTGTTTGCATGCTTTATAAGTCATAGTCCCCCGCAAGTAAGAAGCTCTATTAAGAGAATATTACAGGTGCAAAGTACGGCAACTGTTATCGTTTCAACTACAGGCATATTTCCGACTCTGTTGGTATGCTTGATAGTCTTCTCGTTGTGATTCTTACGCAGAGAATGACAGCAGGCGAACCGATAGGACTTCAGATTTCTTCAGCGATGAAAACATTCACAACGTACACGTTCTTGAAAGATTACTGAAGACTTTTGCATTACTCAGACCTGAAATAGGTAACAGCACCCTCAGTGCGACTTCCATTCACCGTCTACAAAATTATGTTGCAGGCTATGTCCAGGGAATGAGCGACATTATGGCCCTACCGCTGATGGTTCTAAATAATGAGCACCAAACCTTCTGGTGCTTTGATTCCATCATGAAAACAGTGGTAAAAGATATACGAAACGTAAATCATGTGTTTATTGAAATCGACACTCCGATCTTTAGCAGGGAAGAGTCTTTGCTGATTTAACCCTTTCAGAGCCACTGGAGGACCTTGCTAAACTGTGCCGACACGTAGACAAGCCTCTTTTTGACCATCTCGGTGAGCCTCAATTCGTGATCCATGCACTCAACTGATATTGTTTTTTTTTCAGACCACATATACGAAGGAGATCAGTGGCTTTTTGCATACAGGTAATAAATATTGAATACCACATGGAATAAAAGTTTTTTAAGGGAGAAAGCTTATTTTTTCAGGCTGGTTCTACTTAATTTCAAGAGGGAACTTTCGATTGACGGTTGCAGCAGACTCTGGGAGGTAACGTAACGTAGCTAAACTGTTTTCTCTTTCATCATACATACCGAATTATAGGGACACCTTGGAGATTTAGATTCAAAGGTGTCATTAGGGAGTACACTAATGTATTAGTATGCCAATGGATCCGAACCAAGGGTCCTCTATAGAGAGGTGTGCTTTAGGAGTTATTGTGCTTTATACAGTGGCAAATCTAGGATTTTGAAAGGGGGGTTCCGCTGTCCAAGAAACGTTTTGACTGCACTTGTGCATGCAAGAGGCCGGTAAAGCATGCACACAAAATGATAAAAAGGGGGGTTCTGTGGAACCCAAGGAACCCTCCTGGATCCACTACTGATATAACTGGTGTAATTGTGCCAGTTTCAATTTTCTGGTATCTCTTTCTTGCTTGCTTCAGTGTTACTGGTCCTGCCACGCAACTCAACACTTTCCACTCCTCTTCAAAACCTCGCTTCTTCTGCACTTCAGGGACACTCTCCTCAAGTACACTGACTTCGAGCAACTCATGCAAGTATGACAATAATCATTACTGGGAGCCAAGAAGACCTTTGCAAACTGTGATTTAAGGAGAATGTAAACAACAAAAAAGAGCCTCAGGCGATTTTTTTCCTTTTTTTTCAACTGCATGTGTCCGAGAATACAGATTACTTGCCAAATTGACACATAGCTACCTACAAATTTCATGCATAGAATGTTTGTGGATTACTCACTCAATAGTTTTCTCCCTTTGAGGCCTATAATGGTGTTCCATGCACGCATTCATGTCAGTTCTCGCAGAACCTCAGAGGCAAGATACCAGTGAATGAGGTGCTCTCCCAAGCCATAGACCTCCTAGATCAGCTCAAATCTGACGAGTTGTGCCCCCATGATATTAAGGTTAATTACAAAACTGGTGGTAAGGTGTGCCATTATCTTGTCTCCCCCTCCCTCTCCCTCTTCTCTCTCTTCTCTCCTCACCTTATCCTTCCCGCCTTTCTCTTCTCCTTCTCTCTCCCGGCCCCCCTCCTAATCATGTTGTCTTCAGTTTCTCGTGTCTAACCAAGTGTCTGCTCCTCCTCCATTAGTTGGGTTTGTCCGAACACGACAGAGAGTGACTTCGCTTTTCTCCAGAAAATTTGACGTGCGTTACAACAGAACCGCCTAAAATATTACCTCCTATTGTGAAAAATGTTCTTCATATTATGTTTTGTGTTTCAGGTCCAGAGGGACCAAATCTGGAGGGCTCTATTTGGAGACACTCCCCTGCAATCTATCACTTCACCGTTTATGCTCTCGCCACCCGAAACCTCAGACTCAGTGAGGAGTTCCAATTGGAACACACCTCGCAATGATTCTAATTGGAACACACCTAACTACACAACAAATGGGCCACACTCTAGCCTTAGTTTCGACTCTACAAGTAGTGGAGAGCGACAAACTACTTCCCTCTCCCCACGAGCTCGTGCTCCACCGAAAGTGGGGTTTATCCCGAGAGGGACAAACAGCTATCACCTTCGAGAGGACATCAGAAGAATACGGTTGTCAAGTGCTTACAGTGAAAGTTCCTTCACTGATGACTCGCTAACTGAAACAGATGTAGTACGCAGCAACGGCAGTGCTACGAACAGCTGCACTGTTTCAGTTGATGCTCACCAAATTCCACTTTCAAATCCCACCTGCGAAAATGAAAGTGACAGGGTGGGGGAGTTTGAAAACCAATCTCATGGTTGTAACCAGCTGAGCCACAACAACTTTCGCTCCACGTCATCCGGCCACCTGCCCAGCAATGACTCAACCAATCAGGCAGCTTGCTACGGCAATTCTCAGTTTGACTCCCTTCGTTCTGAAGCAGAACTTCCCTGTTTTTAACACTAACCCCCTATTGTTATTAACACTAAACCTCCTGTAATTATTTATGGGATGTCATTATGAATATTTCTTTACGTTGACACCTCTCTAACTCTATGGACACCCCTTGAAACGAGGTCACCTTTCTAATACAGAAGCCTTTTCTCTCCCCCAATTTCTTGCATTCATGAATTTAAACCACTCTATATAATAAGGAGACCTCACTCAGGATTTTTTGACGACTGAAGATGATGGTATTCATGAGCTTAAAAGTGCTAGCACAGCTTGCGTTCTTCACAACTATTATTCTCCTAAACAAAGGTTACTTTATATCATATATACACTGAAATTACTGCACTCATACATCATGAAACACTGACAACAGATGAAAGGATGATGAACCAGAAATTAAAAAACAAATTGTGGTAGATCACAGGTTGTATTAATTAAAACACAAGATGAGGGGAGTTCTGTGGAATAGATCAACTGCATGTGGTAGTTGTGGTGACGGTGTTCCCAACTCTCTTTGTTACAGTCTTGCAGTTTTGACTCGTGTGACCTGCAAAAAACAAGTTGAACATCATCATAATCATTTATTGCCGAGCGCATTAGCGTGAGGCAACTACTCCGGGTTGTATTCTTGCGATATACATACGTATGTGTCCGTCACGCTTAAGAATGTCAATTAGTCACGCTTAGGAATGTCAATTTCCGCCGTGCGCGCAGATTCGTAGGAAGTCTGGCTTCGCGCGCAGTCAGTAGAGCGCGCGCACGAGCGGCCTCAGTTGGACTGTTTACGCATTGGCTGGCAGGCGCGAGGCAAAATATGCGCGTGCGCATTCCTAGTAGAGCTATAATTATGCCTACCTCACCTAGAGGGTTAAGACTTCTGTTTTTTAGTAACTCTAGAGATTTACACGTACCAAACTCCATGTGCATGTCAAATCCACCATTGAAAAAGTCGCCACCAAAAGCACCGCCGAAAAGGTCGTCATCGTCGTCTCTTCGGTGGTCCATGTCGTGTCCAAAGAATCCATCACCGTGTTCTGGAGAAATCAGTAAATCACAACATGCATGACTATAGCTATGTATAATATTATTATTATAGAGATGTGTCCTATTGTAGAAGGTTCTATATACTCCAAGGATAGCACAGTAAGCTAAGGTTAAAGGTACGCGGTGGAGCCCCTCAAATCAGGGCACAAATGGGACAGAAAAAAGAAGGAAAAATATATAATAGCAAGGTGTCCTTAGTTTAGGTGTTAAATTGTAGGCAATAAAACTTTTTCTTGGGGAAAGAAAAAGAACTGGTGTTTTCCCCCAGAATTGTCCTAATTTCAAGGGTGTCCTTGAGAGGAGTTCCACTGTATATTACACATGGTATAGTAAGGCAGCTTCCACGGAAGACATGAAGGAAGAATCACACATTATAATAGAGGAAGTCAAACAGAACACAATAATGCACCTGTGTGCTGATGGGGGTGGTGGCCCTGGAAGAATTCACCCCCGAAACTGTTATGGAAGAAATCGTCCTCGTGGAAAACATCTTCAAACATTGTGTGGAAGTTAAAGTGGGTGTGGTGATGGAATCCGCTGTCTCCCTCGGGGCGGAAGAAGGCGTCGAAATCAAACGGACTTCCCTCTTGGCTGGCTCCCTGCGCTCCAAACCTGTCGTACTGTTTGCGTTTGTCAGCATTTGACAGAACGTCGTAAGCTGTAAGATTCATGTAGTAGCACGTGTGCGTGTGCAGAGAGAGAGTGTGGTGATCAATTTTTTTGGAACAGAAAGACTAAGTCAACGATATTGAGTTTTGGAGTAGCTAACTATAACCTTATGTATTGTTTGTGCACTAACACTTTTGAGAGGGTTGCCACGTTTTCTAGAGCTATTTCATTTGTAGAGTTCACGATACATATGTATACTTATATATAGGCACTGTGTCAGTATCACTGTATGCACACATGGGAAATACCTAGCTACGCCACTCACCGTTGGCGATATTTTCAAACGTTTTCCTGGCTTCAGGGTCGGAGTTCTTGTCCGGGTGAAAGTCCATTGCCAGCTTACGAAAGGCTTTCTTTATCTCTTTGGCCGAGGCCGTCCTCGGCACGCCCAGTAGCTTGTAGTAATCTTCTTCGTCATTCTGTGCAGATCCTGCGTTGACTCGTGATGAAAATACGGCTAGGAGGAGAACACAGTACGTGCAAAGGGTCGCTCTAAGAATATATCGACTAATGTTAGAACTGCCCATCTTGTCCGAGTCGAGGTTCGAGCGTCATCCAGTTTGATGACGCAACTTAGACCTGCAACTTGGAGCAATGTGATTGGTCGACGGGATCCGGGATGATTATGCTCGCGTTCGCGGCGCTAATTAAAAACGCGCTGCGCGGTCCTTTGCGCGTCACATAGACTCGCTGCAAAGTGCAAGGGCCAACGACGCGGTAAGTATTGACTCCTCTGCAGTGTAGCTGTGTCTCCACGTATGCTCCGTCCCGTCGTCATGACCTACTGCTGTTTGGTTGCCTTCCTGCTCCTTGCTTTCATCTGCGCTGGTAAGCTAACTACACTAGCTAGCCACTGTAGCTAGATAATACTAATTGGAGATGTGTCTTGTCCATAAAGTTATATGAAAATACCGAAGTTCCGCTAGCTGCAAAATGCGTTTAGCTTCTGAACAACTCCTGCTTATTAGACAATTGCAAGTAAGGTACGTTTATAATATGACCAAGTTTCTTGTTCTGTGAATGCAGTGCATTGAGTGTTTAGGTGGATTTTATTAGCTACTTTTGACTTGATAAGCTTTACCTCAAAGAGCTTTTTGTGTGTGTAGTTCTAACTGGCAATCTTGTTTTTGTTTGTGACCTACCTGGCTGCGGCGTCTGCATGGCGCTGAAGAACAAACACAGTGGCAGTGTATCTAGAACGTAGGAAGAGCCACAATTAAACATATATAGAAAGAAGGAAATGTTACGGGTAGGATAACCTCTCTATATTGAGGTTTTGCTTATTAGTAGAACACTACTGGAGTAATGTTGTATATGGCAATTACTCCCTCGACTACAATTACACTCAGCTGTGTATGTGTAATCGTTGGTCATAAGTGTATTACGTAGACCACATATTATGGTTTCCTTCCAAGTTCCGAAGAGTGCAATGAGAATCACCTTTTCCGTAGTGTGGGGCCCAAACATAGTAAACAGTGTGGTAAGAAACCACAGGGAAATGTGGTATATAGAGGTTCCTGACAGGGAATTGATGCAGGCTTTTCCTAACTACTGTCATGCATACCGAGTGGGAGTGTACTGTTGTGCCATAACACGGTTGTTTGAGGCTTGCCTTTGTCTTGTGTAAAAGAGGAGAGGGTCTGGGCATGAGACTAAGGCAAGGCAACCTCAATACTCTGTGCTATGGCACCCCAGAAAACCATCACCCACCCATTGCGAAGATACCAGGTGGCAACACAGTACAAACAAAAAGTGTAAGAAGAGTCTGTCCCCTTACTACTTACTAAGGTCACTGAATGATAGCATCACCACCCACAATATCAACTATTTTACTACTCTAAACTCGCTGTTACTATTACCGAACTACTGTAGAATACCCACCTGCTTTCTGCGAAATCACAATGTTATTATATAAAGTATTCCGTTTTTTCTTTCACAATGCGTGTTATGTTTAAAACTAGAATAAAAACTTTCTCTGGAGCATTATAGCTACTTCAAAACTTTCTCTGTTGCACACACACAGACCAAGGCTTGATATGGAAAACATGCATAGGATAGTGTAAACTAAAGGTTTAAAGCATTCCTATTTCTTTGCTAATTGCGTTGTTCGTACACCTTTTTACTTGTCTTGAACAGGTGCGAAAGTCAGAATGAGAGACTAAATTTTACAGGTGCCATATACCACACGGACACACAAACCTATGAATACCAAGTCAACATTACCCAAAACACTCTAATGAACCAGACAATTCTCACCGCACAATGTACTGACAGAGAAGACCGCACGGCCATTATAACCTACTCCCTCCCTTCACCTCTTGCCAGCTCACCGCCGCAGTATTTCAGTATAAGCCAAGAGACTGGGGAGGTGAAGCTAGCTGTTGATAGTTTAACGCTTGAAGATGGTAGAAGGTATGATGCCCGGATTCGTTGCTCTTCAAGTGCATACAGTTCAGATGTGACAGCGTCGCTTAGAGTGCACTACCGACTCAAGAATGAGTTTTCACCTGTTTTTAGCATTTCAAACCAACTGCAGCTTTTTTTCACCGAAAATAACGACATTTCCGGAGACAATGCCATTATTTATGATTTTAATGCTACCGACAATGATCGCGGAGCCTGTGGATTAATAAGTTACTCCATAACGTCGAGGAATGCCGACCTATTCCAAATAAACAGCACCACTGGTGTACTCTCATTCGTTGGGCCGCTCGACCGAGAGACGAGGGATCAGTACACGGTGTTAATACAAGCCAGTAACCCTCTCTGTCCAACAGACGAGGTCAACAGAATAGCACGTAGTAGTGTGGACATAAGAGTTGTAGATGCAAACGACACACCGCCACAGTTCACCCAGGTTTTATACAATGCAAACATCAGCGAGAATACAAAAGGAAGACATTTACTTCTCAAAGTTGTTTGCAATGATCCGGACACCAATAGCCAAGTCTCATATTTTCTACAAGACCCGCGACCAGACCCTTTTTTCATGGACCATGAAGGAAACATCTTTGTTGAAGAAACTTTTGACTACGAAACTACTCCGTCGTTTTCATTCTTAGTATTCTGCAGAGACGAGCGAGGGAGTGAGGGCCAAGTTGGTAATGCCACTGTTAACGTTGCCATTATTCCTGTAAATGAGTATCGACCAACCTTTACGCCAAGTTCTCTGGTGGTCACTCTCCTTGATATAGCTCCTGGAGGTACCGTGATAGTTGCGCCTGTGGAACAAGACTCAAATGCAATGAAAACTTACACTGTCACTGACAAGGATCGTGGCTCGAATCACGGCGAATACAATTTCACCATTAGTTTTACAGATGGGAGCAATTACAGTGAAAACTTAGATTTCGACTACAAAACTGGAATTCTTCGTTTGAAGCAAAAATTTGTAAAGACTGCATGTGGACAAGATAATGGAGGTGGAATTTCTGCAAGAATTTCAGTTCGGATTACTGCTTGCGACATACACAACTTACCATCTTGTGAGATTCTTAATGTAGAGCTGTTTGTGTTGACAAGTAACTGCACCGTGTACTTTCCTCGGAATTCCACAGATATCTCGGTGAGTGAACTCACACCATCGGGAGAAATTATACTTTCACTTCCCTGTGAAGACCATTCGAACTACACAAACAAAACTGTCACGATATCATCACCAAATAATGACAACGATTCAAACAAACATTTCTCATATAATTCAAAGAGTGGAAACTTATACTTGTCGGCGCCTCTTGATTACGAGGTTAAAGATGTATTTTCAATCCAACTCATTTGTAAAAACGACTACAACACGACTGCTTCAGTACATGTAGCGGTTAGTGTGTTGCCGGAGAATGAATACCGACCAGTTTTTGATGAATCGGTCTACATTGTAAGATTGGATGATCAAGTTGAAACGTTGCCATTGAGTATTGAACAAATTACTGCTAATGATAGGGACAGGGGGGTTGGGGGAAATCTGACATATTCACTAGCTGAGCCAAGTCAGTACTTCACCATCAGTCCAGATGGTCAACTGTTGTTGTCGCAAATCCTTCCTGAGTCTGAGACTTTATTCTGGATTGTGGCTATCGTTAGCGATGGAGAATTTTCAGCCAACGCGACAATAATAATCGCAACTTCGAGTCAATCGGTGAAAGCTGAAGATTCAGAATATTATACAGTTCTCGTTGTTGTATTTTCAGCCACGTTCATTTTCGTTGTCATTCTCCTGCTCCTCTCCTGGTCGTTGGTTTGTCACTTGCTGTGTCGACGGAGCAGAAAGAAAAGAGTGCGACACACTTTCAGTGAACCCAACAACAGACAGAATTTGTAAGTCCTATACATTCCTTTTGCAACACGCAACATTACCACAAGTTTACTACACTGTAGCCCTAGCTCTTTAATTCCCTTCCTTTCAACCCATACAGTGGAACCTCTCTCTAAGGATACCCCTGAAATGAGGACACCTCTCTAATAGGACACCTTTCTTTCCCCTAGAGTAGTTCTAGAATGTAATGCACCCTTGAAATAAGGACTAACTCACTAATATGGGCACTTTATTCTGTCCATTGGTGTCAAGATTAGAGAATCCGACAGCATTTTGAAACTTTAAACTCTGTATCATACATGCAGGGATTTCCGTCATTACAGCATGTCTAGTGGACACCCACCAATAGATTGCACAGCACTCGACAGTGCAGCGTTCCCAAACGACCCTTCTTTCAAGAGCAGCAACACACTCCTGAGCACTACAAAGACTCACACCCAACCACAAGAGCCTGAGTATGAGACTATTCTCTGCAAAGCTCAGGTACATCTAATGTAGCTATCACTATAATATGAAGAACTAAAGTACAGTGGAACTCCTCTCTAAGGACAGCCCAATGAGGACACCTCTCTAATAGGGACACTTTCTTTCCCCAAGAACAGTTCTTGCATGCAATGTAACCCCTGAAATAAGGACACCTCACTAATATGGACACTTTCTTCTGTCCCATTGGTGTCCAGATTAGAGGAGTTCCACTACTCTATACATAAAAACTTGTGGTATATAGTAATAGTATTTTCACTGCAGAATTACTCAGAGCCGGTCAAGGCGAATAACAAGCACATGTCTGTTACATCTCACAACAGCACCGATTGCTACGTCTCAATGCAGAACCCTACAGAAGCCTTCGGTCAAAACGAGTACACCATCCAGGGGCTAGAAGAACAAGATGCAGTACTGTCCAGGGATGGTAGAAATAGCTCTACTGCAAGTCGAAATGTACACCCACTGTTGAAAGCTAATGCTAGCGTTGGGGATATGGAATCGTCGCTTGAATTCGGAGGTGCCATTGAAACATCGCTCGAGTTTGGTGGGACGAGAGGTATATCACTTGATTATGCAGGGCCATCTAGATTGTGTGAGGGTGGCACATTGCCCCGGATACCAAGCAGGGGAAAATTTCGAAACGATATCTGAACTGGGTGAGAGTCAATTGGAATACCGCGACAGGCAACCTTCGTTTGCAGATACTGACTATAACAAAAACTAGACAAAGCAAGAAGAACTGTAAACATAGTTTGTGATTGACAAAACACTGGTTTTTCAGCACCGTCTTGCGATAAACCTACGCATGCGCACGGGCAGGAACTACGCATGCGCGCACGGGGCAGAGGAACTAACTACGCATGCGCACGAGGAGCGGCGAGATAGATACAGGATGCGCATTGACGAAGTGGGCGTATTATTGCTCGTTAGAGAAGCTGCAATCCGCTTTGCTTTATATAGCCGTGTCTCGAGGAGCTGTGAATAATACCATATATACTGCTGTAGAGGACTATAAACTTGAGCCGTGGTCGTACGGTACGGGTACGCAGTGTGTTAGCGTAGAAATTCGCCCGCACCGCCGCGAGCCATGGAGGTGTTCGTGGCCAAGTTTGATTACGAGAAAGAGAGGGAGGACCTGCTCAGTTTCAAGGAGGGTGAAAAGTTTCGCATCGCATCCAAAGCAGACAAGAAATGGTGGGCCGCATATTCCGTGGAGACCGGGAGCTATGGATATGTACCAAGCAGCTACATGGAGGTTAGTACGTAGCATAAACGAATGGATTGGGAGATTTTCTGTTGCCTCAGAGGAAAACAAGACCGTTATGGCATTCCAAGTCTGCATGGGGTGTTGATGTTTTGAAATGGGCCCTTTTCAGTTTACGAGTGGGACGACGGAAATCATTGAGACGACGACTATAGCGCGTCTTTGAGTGAATAGTGAATAGCATAGTACATTAGCTTCCTTCATGCAAGACACATGTATTGATGAGTTATATAGGTACAAACAGGAAAAAGCTCTGGTTCCTCTGAACTAAATGTAGCTAGTAGTCAACTATATACCATAGCCACAGAATAACTTATTGCCCCAAATTTGCAGTCATTTCTTACTGAGGTCCATATATATAGCATCTGGGCAATTTATTGAGGCATTGTCTCTGTATTTTTCCAACAGCGCTATATCGATACTTCTGAAAGCGAGTTTGTACACAACCTCTCAGAATCAGATGCAGGAGTTCAAAAGGTTTGCCAAAAATATTTAGCCACTAATCTCAATGTTGTTGTCCCAGAGATGTACCGTAAATACACTTTGTAGAAGATCTTTGCAGTTTCAGAGGGTTTCTGATGTGCATGGCCAGTGGCTTGTGTGTAGTTGCCATAGCAGTAGTGTGCATTCTCAAATTACATCTTTTATTCAGCCATGCCCACCAATAAGCAATGAATATCGGTATAGGAATTCAAACCCCACGCGTGTGACATGTCCGTTGCTATAAAAGGCTAAATGCCACTGACAAGCGATGCGAGAGAGACGAAGTATGCTAACATCTATAAAAACAGTCCCTGATTGGTGACCAAGTAAAGTTGTATCACATCCCATGCTTACACACACACACTCATACTTTGTCTATACACATTCCGGCAGCACTTCCTCTCGGCTACACATTGCATTTTTGGGGAGTGACATAACATCACACACACACACACATACTATGACACAAAACATAATACACAGGCAAAACACACACACACACACACACACACACCACACACACACACACACAAGGCGCTCACACCCAGTAGTGTTTATTTCTCACATCAATATCCTCTTCAGTATATATGACGCACATTAAAAACAACTGTGCCCTTGGAAGTGTAGTGTAGCATCAGCCAGCCTCTGCGGTGTTTTGCCGGCTCTCACTTTGTTAGGTTATTATTAGGAATGCCAGGTACAGTAATTAGGAGCCTTTGAGCCACCTAACTCTGTTACCGTGATTATTGCCGAACAAGAGAGCACACAGCTCACTTGGCCTTGAAGTGAATTGACGCTCGTGTATTCCCCAATAAAGGAAAGGTGGAGAGTCGCTCTGCTTAATTGACAAACGAAATCATCACGTCTCGCACGTCTCCTTGTGTAGCTCTATTATATACTCGACAGTTCTGCTAGTTTGAGTTGCAGCCAAGTGGAACAAGGTTAAGCACTCAATCTTAAGTGATGCAAGACCAAGTGTTGTGTGTGAGTGTGGTATGTGCAGGAAGAGCCCTCAAATCATTATGGTTTCACCTTACAGAAATCATACTCCATTAGAGGACAAAATATCATACGGGTGTGGCAAACGGAGCGACAAACAGGGAGTAAATTGAGCGCAGTACAGAACACGCTATGCAGAATATGGAAATTCTTCTGCCTGAGAACGGACGACAACTGAAGCTAACTTGGAAGCTATGAGGGCTAAAAACTGTTTGTTTTTTCAAAGATCGACACATTCTTGAAGAGCCCTAGAACAGTATGGTGATGCTCCTAGGATGTGTACATACCTGATTTGGTGTATAGAGGCTGTGTGCATAGACACTGTGAACAGATGTCCCATTGAGGTAGGGCAGAGGCTAGAAATAACAACAGAATGTGTGTGTTACAACTGGCCCCATGGATGACTGCCCCTCTTTTTCGCCATATCACTACTGAGGGGTCTTATCATCCTGTGAATCTTATCTTATTCTCAGTGAATGCATAATCTAGTCTCCAGTTTTCCCTGTGTTATGTTAAGAGGAAGAGAGGGAGAGAGAGGCTGGTGGAATTCCACTGTCAAAAAGGACATGGAGTTCAAGCCAGAATAGAACACATGAGATTGCCCGAGCATCAATAAACCTGTGGTGCTAGCAAATTTACACTTTTTCATTGTCAGAGGGTTGTATGAGTTGTGGTTTGCTAAACTGCCCTGGTTTTAATTAAGACCTTCATATGAAGCATGTGGGAGAAAGGGAGGGAGCAATTTGCACTTATGGACATGCCAGATCAATGAGACTGGGGTTAGATACACCCAGAGAGAGGGGTGGGAGGAAGGACGGTACAGGGAGGGTAAGTGACAGAGTTTCACAGCCAGATATTACTGGGCTAGCTACAACGCTGCCAAACTTGAGTGTAGGAAGATGGCAGATGATCCCAGGACTTGATCGCCGCCATTTACACCCTCTGCTTGTAGTGGGATTGACTGCCCTTCTAGTGGTAGGAAGGGCAGTCAATCCCACTACAAGCAGAGGGTTGTATCACACCAACCCTTGCATGATATAATTTCCTTGTACCATTATAATGTAGTACATACCCTCAGTAATGTGTGATAATTCGAGAATGGCTCAGACCACGCAGTGGTTGCAAGCTATTCAGAGTTGTATTTCGGAAGGCTCGGTCTCCATATCAACAATGTATGGTCAGTTTTCCTGCTCAAACAGCTAAATTTAGTAGCAATTACGTAATGACTAGCAATAGAGTAGTGGTACATAGGAACCTTGAGCTGAAGAATGTATTGGATATATTATTGGGAAAATAGCCAGTATATATTACATTTGTGGTCTGAGGGGAGTTAATGATATCACCATGTAAGTGTGGGTGAGTTAGGTTGTATGTAAAACTTCCTCTCAATTAGTGTTAATTTTAGAGTGTTTTCTGCAGTAGACTAGTCCCTTTGCCAAGATTACTCTGTCATTGATGGACATTGGGAGGATATTGTCTCTTGCTCCCATCGTTTAAGTACACATACACTTGAAGCAAGCTAACTAGTGGTTCAAAGTGCAGATTTTATTGTGGCAATATGAGATACCATAATCCTCTAAACACGCACCAAATGCTGAAGTTTCGCTCTGCATTCACTTTAAAATGTTGATCTAGTAGCTAATCCACCATCATCCTTTCCCAGCAACAGGCACTACAGGAACTGAAGAATAAAGTAAAGCCAACACCAGGTAAGATATTTGACAAGATTACTCACAGTTCTATAATTATTATTCCTTCTTCATAATGTTTAAAATTTTTTCCCCCTATAACTGCAGCAGCAACAGAGTTGACTGAAGGCTCAGAGGATGGAAGTTGGAGTGAAAGCGAAAAGACAGAGGCAATAATAATCAAACCACTAAAGTCGCTTTCAGTATCGTCCAACGATGTGAGAAATAAACTTGAGAAAACAGAAAACATGAATTATTTAGAGCTAATGTTTTTTGCTCACAGGATGCAGAATTGATAGAACCTAAGAAGCTACATAATCCTGTACTGACTTCTAGACCCCACCTTCGCCTCACAAGGAACTGAAACTAACTCACGCAAGGTATGTGGCAGAATTCAAACGATCTGCATTAACTCAAAACAAGCTCAAGCTACATACAGACAATTCTTCAGGCTCTTCAAAGTATGTGTGCGATGAGGAGCATAGGTTAGTACCGCACGTGTGGCCACATGTGCGGTACTAACCTATGCTCACTTTTCCCAAACCTATTCCACGCAAAAGTAGTTGCAATTTCATGGTTGAGCACCAGGTAGGTGTACATACAAAAATAACCCAAGCCAGTATAAGTCACATAATTTCCCACTCATAATGTACCATTACGTAATATGGTGCTCATAACTGGCATCATAATAATAATTATGTTGCCACCTGTAATTATACAGAGGAGGGATTCAGTCTATTTTGGGGAAGCCAGAGTTGGAGAGGGTCATGCAGAGAAGACGGCCGGACGCAGACGGTAAAGCTGGTCCATAAGACCGGTGGAGAGAAGTAATAACACTAGAGGAAGTTGCATGGACAATGAACTCGAAACCCAGCTGGCAAGACGGTCGAAAGCCATCGATACCGTGAGTAAACCCCTTCGATTATCGTAACCATGATCGTCATGGCACGAATCATTTTGCAGGGAAGAATTTCATCAGAGTCGCAAAAACCAGAGTTTATGAATGTTGCGCTCAGAAAAACGCCGAAAGTCCAGTAACAAGAAATCACCAGAAGTTATATCCATAATTCACTTCCTCCAGCCTGATGTATATGTATGTATGTGTATGTACCCAGTATAATTATGCCTGTTTGATTATCATTTTTGTAAACACACACAGAAACAATAGGACTAAAGAGCCCTTGTGTGCAAAATGCATAACTATAATGTGTATCTCAATATCAATTAGAGTTGATCAAATTGATCGTGACTGACACGATCTTGACACACTCGTGTCTCCGGGACGCTCTACTTTCAAGTGTTCAGACCATCAATGTGCGGCATAAAGACTCCAGCCAATCGTCCAGTGTATGCGTTTGGAGTGCTGTACTCATCAAAGCAACTGCAAGTACACTGTCCAATGAGTGGAATATACACCTGCCAAAGAGAATGAACAAAATCAGTTAACTAGAACTAGAAGAGACAATCGTTATATATCAGAGACGTGTACCCCTCTAGTCTGCACACCAATGGGACAGAATAAGTGTGGTCAAGTGTCCTTTAGGGGATCAAATTGCATGCAAGAAATTTTCTTTAAAAAAAACGGTGTCCATAGCATTAACGAGGTGTCTTCATTTCAGGAGTGTCCTCAGAGAGACGCTCGCATAATAAAACCACCCCTAAACCTCTCCTCTAGTTTATGTGTAAGACATGGCTCTGTGCATAAAAGGTGTCCATTGTCTTTGAGGGAGGCTCCAATATAAACATGTTATTCTAGGGGTCTCCCCAGACCTTTCTCCATCCACACTCCCATCGCCACTGACGGTTTACGATGCTCCAACAGCAGTCCCAGCGAAGTATCATGAGCGGTATGAGTGTTTCCTCTCTGTATGAGCCATCAATAAGGTCATAAGGTCATAAGGTCATAGGTGAGCAAGGCAAACAAAGAACTAATACACCCAGGACAACTCTTTCTGTCAAGGAAAAAAAGAGCTGCCCTGGGTGGAATTCAAACGCACGACCCTCTGCTTTCTAGGCGAGCGCTCTACTACCAGGGCAACTCAGCTCTCTACAAACTGAGCTACCAGGGTAACAACTCAGCTCTCTACCAACTGAGCTACCAGGGCAACTCAGCTGGTAGGGGTTCAAATCTTCTGCAAAACACAACATAACAATAGCAAACCTCAAACAGCTCACTCGGAGGCATTGGCTCTAAAGTGAAAAACCGTCAGTGTACATGCATGTGTAAAGTGCATAAGGTGTGGAAGTTACACTCTGTTTCACCTCCGTGGTCTATCATGTACTCTTGCTCAAGGCTTTTAAACTCAACAATCACTATTTCGTGTTGTGTACTAGTGTCCATTGATGAAATACATCATTGTTCTTGAGGTGCATACCTTAGGACGGCATTACATTTGAGTCCACCAAAAAATGAGCAGTTTTCTCCACTGCAAAAAGCTCCGGAAATCCACTGCGGAAAGAACTGCCCATGTGGAAGTCTTGTCCAAGTAGCATTCTATATAATATAGTATAATGACAGACTGAATTGATTGAGAGGAACTTGATTGGTATCGTGAGGGGTGATCAGCGATTATTGAAACATCTGGACACCTCGGGATATCGAAAGTGTCATTTAGAAATGTTGCTTATTGAGTATGTACATCTGTATGGGGCAGAGAGAGGTGTCCCCTTCTTGTAGGGTCCGCTTCACTATAGTATAACTAGGGGGTGCACTTTTTGAATATAGGGTGCACACCTCAGTATGAAAGGGTTCTGCCTCATAGTAATGTAATTTCCTCTCAATATAATGTCGCCTCTGAATATGGGAGACTTTCAATGTCCCTAAGTGTCCCTTATTCAGAGGTTATATAACAGACGTACCACTTGACATCGGTCAGTCAGTTGAACCACAGCATTGACAATCAAACCATAGTTTGCTGGGTCGATAAGATTTACTGGAGTATTCTGCAGCACTTCCAGTGATATCGCCCCGTAATCTTTATTTGGGGCAACTGTTGTTCCAACTCCTGCTCCTCTAATGTCTGTATGTATTGCACAGAAACAAGAGTATATACAATACAGTAGAGTGGAACCTTGGAGGGAACTTGGTTCTGCCCCATACTAATATACCTCTCCATAAAGGACACCTCTGAATAAAAGACACTATTTACTTTCATAGTACGAAAACAACACAGTAGAGTGGAACTCAAGGCCCCCCCTGAAACAAGGACACCTCTCCATCGTTATGCATTTTAACCCCTATAAAAACGGACACTCAGATTGACACTTTCTTCGCCCCTTGGTGTCCGATGGAGTTCCCTGAGTATCGGCTCATCCCGGTCTTCTCTCCTCAAGATTGGAGCTTGGAGTATTATCACATGATTGCATGTCTATACAACATTGACTGCAGTGCATGCATCCCAGTGGAACCCCCTCTAAGCAAAGGACACCTCTCCATCATTATGGCTTTGCATGCATTTTAACCCCTATATAAACAAGGACACATCACTGATATGGACACTTTCTTCTGTCCCATTGGTATCCGGATTAGAGGGGTCTTCTCTCCAAAAAACAAAGATTTCATACAGAAGACGACACTGTCATACTTGACACACAGTATAATGTTATATGGACCAACTTGTGTTTCCCCTCATCATAATGACTTTGAAGACAGCACGACAAATGGATCGTACCCCAAAAGTGTTTTAGCTTTTTTATCTTTTATACCTCCACTGGAGACCGGGACATTTGCCGGGAGGATTGTGCCAGGTACGATGGGATCTCCACGTGGAAATTCTTCGCCTATGGAAGTCACCCTCAAGTCTGGCTCCAGGAATTCAAAGAGCGAATTGGCAATGTAACGGGGGATTGGGCCTCTTATTGGTGACGGGAACCTGCGTTTACAACACGATACTTTCTGTCACATGATAACACAATGCTTTATGTAAAGCAGAGAGCTGTATGTAAGTATTATACTTATGAATAGGGGCACCTTGGGGAAAAGAAGTGTCCTTTATTGAGAGAGATGTCCTTTACTGAGAGGCAGCTTAATACATTAATGTATTAGAAATGGGCAGAACCAACTTAATACAGAGGTGTCCTTATCCTATCCAGGGGGGGATCTTAGCCAGCAAGTAGTCTCATTACGGCAATTATTTGCAAACAAAAAGTTTCAAGTTTGAAGAAATTTTAATTAACGGGAGACGATTTTTAAGAAGTTGCTGTAATAGCTATAATATTAATGGCTAAGGACTGTGGGAGTATTAGAATGAGCTCACCCAGATGTGACTGGTAGGTAAACGGTGCCAGGTTCTCCAGGTTGAAATGAGATGAAGGGCGGAGTTTCAGGTATCGAGAACTCCTGTCCGGGCAACCCTGCGTGTGGATTCTGGACCATGCATGTCAGTTGTGATGAAGGTGGAAAGCCATAGCCCTGAATACCGTAGGCACTGCAAGCACCAATCACAGCAGCCAACACTAGTAAGGTCTGCATCCTGCATTTGGGAAACGCGTAGCATTGTAGCATCAGCGGGGTCTGCGCTCGCAATATTGATATAGCTAACTGCGTCATTTTATACTGGATGGGCGATTTATAATGTTATTGCTTTATAATAATGGAAAGCGACGGTGCAGTGAACTTACTTTGTTGTGGCGTTTTAGCCTGTGAGGATGCGAAATTTGCAGTGCGACTTGACGGAGAAGGCGAGCGAGGGGCACCGCGCTCTTACACTCGCCCAGCCTCTCTGCTGCACGGACACAAAAACAGAGCCAGGTCAGGCCCATTGTTACCAACTCTTTGTTATGCATCCACCACGCGCGCGCTGGGAGCAACTCAGATTATTATGCGGCAGGCCGGGCGCGCGGATCGGACGCGCGCGACGGGGGGGGCGCACGCACGTACGCGCGCTGCGCTGGCAAACGCTCGCCAGGCTGCGTTTCGCTTGTATCACAGAGCTTGAAGCCCAAGGAATCGATTCTAACTGCAATCATGCAAATGTGGTACATGCAGCTAAAACAACAAGCATAATCACACTCCCGCTTGAGTATACTACGCCATGCGCATATATACGACCATCTGATAACAACAAAATATTCAGTATGAGAATACACTAATAAATCAATTGAGTTTGTCAAGCTGATCATGATGAACACGACCATAACACACATCAAGCGCATGTCAGAGTGCAATAGTCCTAAGTCTCAGACAGGCATCCGATATGTAATCACTGAAGGATCTGCAATCCCACCAGATTCAATAATTTGGTCGTTGAAATATTGGACACCACACGCACAGTCACATCTTCCGATATAGGCCAGACGAACCTATAAGAATAAAGTGTTCACAGCCGTTTACAAAAGAGTAGCTAAGGGCTTTGAAATCAATGTCGGTCTCGGATATAAGTAAAAATGGAGTCACCCTTTCATTATTAATCTAGCTCTCTGTATACATTTTCACAAAATACGGCAATTAGTTCTGTGGAGTGCAAGCGAGGGGCACCGCGCTCTTACACTCGCCCAGCCTCTCTGCTGCACGGACACACAAACAGAGCCAGGTCAGGCCCATTGTTACCAACTCTTTGTTATGCATCCATAATAGCAGGTCTGATGTGCCCGAGGCGGTGCTATATATATACTTACCTTTCTCCAGCCACATTTGTAACTCCATCTCCTGTTAATCAGGCTCCAGCAGCAGTCCCATTGGAGAAACAGAGTGTGCGCAATGGCCTCTTTCCTGCAATAGATAACAGTGGAATGTGACACTATAAAAGGGCTAAATTAAGACTGAAACTGTTACTAATTCTTTCACTCGCCTCTTTTGTTTAGTTTCATCTTTAGTAACATTTCTAAATTTAGCTCTTATGTACTGTCACATTCCCTTTTACTGCAACAACGGCCTACAGTACTTGAACAAAACCCACTTCACAACTGGTTCACAGGCCATCCCTGGAGGCACCGTACAGTTGGATGACTTTGGGCAGTAAGAAGCAAAGATCCACTCGGGAAAGAACTTTCCAGGCGGTAACCTGTTCCATTGGGCTATCTATTATAACAGCAGAGAGAAATTATGAGATTTGGTAGTAATACACATTATCAGGGTATTTTGATTAGTTTCCAGGTGGCTTTCATATAATATTATTTGGTTGGCTTTCAACAGGTTAAACAATAGTCACAGAATGAGGGGAAATGTTTGATAACTCATCACTCTAAGCCACAAAACAGCTGATTGGAGTTAGGAGCTGCTGTGCACTTATTAGGGACTTGAAGTAGTCAGCAGGATATGGGGCTGATGCATTGCACTATAACCCTGTTCCCAGGCCTTCCACACTTACATGTGGTTACATTACAGGCAGTGCCAACGTGAAATGAGATGATGCTGTGTAAATTTACACATAATTAAGCCTAGGAACGGGGCTAACAATGCAGGATCCTAGAGATAAACATATGGCTAAGCTGAAGTGGTGGGGATACATTAGCCGCTATGTCATGTGATAGGGTATTACGCAATAGGTATAGTACAGAAGTACACATATGTGTACCTACCACTCTGCATTGGTCATTTAGCACCAAGAGAGCATCGATAATGATCTGACGCTCAGGCCCCACAATTCCCAGGTCATCAAGCCGCTGGTTGATCTCTTCTGTGTGGTTCTGAAGACCCTCAACGATAGGGCCTATCCCATCTGAGGACAACATCGCAACGAAGCAAAAATGTGCCTTTAAACATTCAGCATTCAGTTCCTTTCTTGTACATAAATCATGAGATAGATGGGAAAATGGAGCACTCAAAAGCTTACAAAATGTGCCTTTATAAGCACACAGTACAGAAATCACACACTAACATCAGAAATACGGAAAAGGGGGCACTCAAAAAAGGTGCAGCACAGAAAGAAGTTTGCAAGATACCTCCAAATTAATAGAGTGACTTCACACACTCCAGGCATGTGCTTCACATACCATTGCAGCTAATGCACGTGCATTGGCCTTGGCTCTTCAATCTCTGGTTTATTTTCTCACTGTTCGTTGTTTTTAGCAATTGGCAATTCTCACTCTAGCTTAGTTGGAAGAACCTCTACTTAGTAATGCATTCAAACATGCAAATACGGCTTGTTTTTTTAGCACAATACAAGACGGATACCAGCCATTCAGCTCTGTTAACCTACACACTCATAATAATATTTATATTATATTTTCTTACTACAGCCTCTCTGATATCATGACGAGGAGATAGCAAGGCAAGGCAAAGTAAACAAATCAACTACACCCAGGACAACTCTTTTTGAACGAAGAAGAGCTGCCCTGGGTGGGATTGGAACCCACGACACTCTGCAGTCTGGGCGAGCACCAACAGACCCACCTTCAATTAGCCTAAGTCTCTGCGGGATGAGTTGTCCGGCGGGTGCATTATCAATAGATGTAGGTGTGTTGCCTCCAACTGTAGACAACTGAATGTTTACGATACTCCCGACGTACTCCAGCAGAAAATCCCTCAGACCTGCGGAAAATTCTCCGGATACTGGTGACCGTCTGAAATTTTTAAAAAGAGTGTTTACTGGTCCACATCAGTGAAAGAAATAGACACATAATTATATCATCTACATTCGAGTGTATAAGAAGATAATCTCCCAATCATAGTCCTGACTTGTGCTATGTACTGTATATTATGTATAATTACACAGTGGATAGTGAACCTCTTATGCATGGCAAGTCTTCAGACTAAAGGTCGCTGTATACTGTTATACCTAACTATTTGGAGATTCCACTATATATTATTATTATGTATAGCTACATGCATTGGCTCTACACACATTTGTGACGGCACGGGTTGAAACCAGCTTCCAAAGTCGTCGTAGACAACATGGAAGGGTAGGACGGGGATCGGTTCCTCCTTTGTGTCAGGCTGGTCCCTCTGGCCTGCTCGAGGGTTGGCCACCATGCATCTCAGGAGGCTGAACTCGTCAAAGTAGTCCGGAGGACCGAATGCAGTAGACAGACCAACGAAAGTCGCCAGTAACACGACACACAGCTTCAACATCCTGCAGATTGAAGGCCAAGGTGGCCCATCTGTTTAACAGCACACGAGATGGCTAGAAATTGGGGTCCCAATCTCACACTGGATATTGCAAGAAACACCCTAGCCCCATAGAACACTATGTTTTGCCCAACTTACTGCAAATTTCTGCTTTATGCACACTAATTCTGTAGGTCCCCAGCAATCAATACTGTGCTTTGTAATGTTAGTGATTAGTCTCGTGCAAAAGTAGTTATTTTCGCCCCGGTGTTATGCAGCGAAAATCGCATGTGCACTTACTTGTCCTGCGGCGTGCGAGAACGGATTGTCGAAACGTGATGTTGATGCTTGGCTGGAGCAGGGAAGCGCTAGGGAATGGAAGCGCGTAGAGCAGCGCTGCCGAGCGAGGAACTACGGCGTCCCGTCCGGCAGAAACAGCGTAGATCAGGCCCATTGTTAGCATCGAGCGGACCCTCTTTGTTTCAAACGCGACTCGCGCGCGCACTTCCGTGCTCGTTCACCCTATAGCGTAGTAGTATATAGTAGTAGTAGTAGTAGGTGCGTGAGTGTGCGCGTCAACTAACTGTACGACGTCGACCATATACGCATGCGCAAATAATTAGTAAGTATATACGCATGCGCCAAAGAGAGAGTTGGGGGTGTGCAAGATACACTCACGGTGGAACTGTAATACAAAAGAAGGGTGCGTGGGTGAAATGCAAATATTATACAAGGAAAATCAAGAAGCATCATCGTATAGTTGTGGATATGATGTGATGCATACAAAATCAATGTCCAGTGTTCTCAAGTTCAACAATTACGCAACCTTTTCATACACATGAGGAGGTTCGTCAGCGCTGGTGGAAATTTTCAATTTGTGCGATTCGTACGAAGGATTAAATATCATCCCGACTGAATCGGTGTCTGAATCCCTCCTAACACTAGCCGTAGAGTGCTCGATGCTTGTTGGATGCGAATTCTGTCGAGCTAAAACGTGTCTCTTTTGCGAGTGTCTGTAACTGGAAGCACTCCCGCCGCTATCTTCAAAGTCACTCGAAGTCGACACTTGAGAAGTCAAGAAAACAGAATTGGAATCTGTAGTGGAAGAGACACTCAGCAGACGGACTTTGGAGGTAGAGGAGAGAGAGCAGCTGCCAAAGGAAGAGACGGAGGGTAGCTTGTGGTCGAGTCGATGGTATATTCCTTCGCTGTCTGCATCTGTGCTACTTGTGCTCGGTGTGTGACGAACCAACATTGGAGGGGCCGTTTCGTTGTGGTTGCTCATTTGCCGTGATTGGCAGGGGTGATGATTGCTCATTGAAACGCCGGAATCGACAGATTCGTGGCGCATTCCAGCTCTGTTGGCCGTGAACTCAATACCTCTTGTCTCCACCGTGCAGCCTTGGCTGTGATGTAATGATGATGTCGTCGAAAATGCTCGGCCGTCGTTGGCAATAACGTGGGGGTTGCTGCTGCTGGGGTGAAGATTTTTGTTAGAATGTTGGCAGATGTCGGGATTGACTGACTTCAGCTGTCCTGAATACCTGTAGACAAAAATTTGGTTAAACTTTTTTGCTTGCATGCATAAAGATGATCATTTGGTATAATTATATGAACTACTAGACATTATTAATAGAGATGCGTGCATGCATAAAGAAATTCGAAGCTTATTGGTTTGATCAGAATGACTTGCAGGTGGATGCACAATGAGCAAGCTGCTTGGCTTGGTCGAAAAGAAGGAGCTGTCCTGGGTGTAGTCGACTTGTTTGCTTTGCCTTCCCTTTCTCTACCCTCAATACCTTCTGTTGACACATGCAACAAGAAGCCTTCGCTATAGTACGGGTCATGCTGATATTATGCTTGCGAGGGAAAGTACGTGCGTGCTGAACTTTTAACTGCTTCACAAAACAAAAACCTTCCAAGCTCAAGCAGAAAGCTTTCCCTGTATAAAACTGGATTGAAGGGAAATATCATGTACTTAAACCTCACTTTTTCCTGGAGCAAAAGTGTCTCAGGAAGTAGACCATTAGAATGACCACACCCATCACAATCACCGTTGCCGCGACGGTGAACGAAGCCACGATGATCTTGAAAGTGGTGTCGTTTATTTCGCCGTCGTCGAGGCCGGAATTCGAATCCTCAATCCCGGCGGGGGACTCCTGGTCATTAGTTAAAATATTAGGAGACGGATTTGGGGTGGATGAAGTGGTTCTCCTCGCATTTTCCGAACAGTCAATATTTCCAGTTGGAGTCAGAGTATAATGCTGCTCACTTTTTCCGTAAGCGTTGCTAGCCATACAGGTTAGCCTTATTTTGCAGTCTGCGTCCATGTGCTCCTTTTCGAATTCAAACACCAATGTCGATATTCCCATTACATCGCCGTATATTGACGTCCAGGTGGAGGCGGGGAGGGGGGTGGAGCCAACAAGCCACTTAAAATCGGGTTCGGGTAAGGCCGTGACACTGCAGTTTATTTTCATCTGTTTCTCGAGTTCAATCATCATAATAATATTTAGATTTTCCACCGCCGGTTCAGGAGCAACTGTGGATAAATAGAAAACCATTCAGAGTAATTTGCATACCTGTTAGATTACGGCAGAAATCTTACAAAAGTGCTTACGAGGTGCGAACCCTGAGTATTGTGTTACAGTTGGTTTTTGTAGTATTCACACTCACTTGCAAGTTTCAGAGTAAATATCCTCGTAACTTGTCCAGCTTCGTTCTGTGCAGTGCACTTGTACTGCCCCGCATCTGCCCCATCGGACAATCGGACGTCCAATACAGAACCGCTCAGAGCTTCGCTGTGACTCAGTTGAGAGTTGAGAGGGACGCTCCAGGTAATGTTGGGAGCTGGTGCACCAACGGCAGTACAGTCTAGAGATGCTGCCTCTCCAAACGCGAGAATAATGTTCAATTCCACATCGTCCTTGACAAACTGTGGACCCTCTGCAGAAAAAGTCAGTAAACACATCTTTTACAACAAAAGAACCATTTCTTTATGCGCAGACAGATATTTTCACCAAAATAACCGTTTCCCCATTGCACGCGGTACAGTTGTCTATATAGCAAGCTACAAAATCTCTTTGACTCTTTTACAAAAGCTGTCTCACCAATGTAAATGTAGCTCTGCATGCCTTTACTAGCTATATTATAGTGTCACAGTATTCAGCTATGTAATTACCGCTTGCATTTCGCACCTACACATTCAGTATGTTGTATAGTTATACCTATGAAAGAGGCACGGATGTCGAGTATCTCCTGCCCTCTATTGTTCTGTACGTAGCAGCGGTACACTCCTTCGTCAGACGCACGGACATCCGCAATCTGGAGACCGTTCTCGACAATCGTAAACCTTGGGCTCCATTCTGCCGTTATCTCATCTATTATCTGAGCCCCTGTTGTAGCGTTGTAAGTTATGTGAATCCAATGGACGTTGGCTGGGGGGTTGCCCCCGTCAATTTCGCAGAGTAGGAGTGATGTCATGTTAAAGTAGATTTCTTGTATCGGCATCGGGTTCAGTATTGTGGGCGGAGCTAGAAAGAGAGGGGAAGGGAGACGAGAGAGGAGGAGGGACAAAGGGAAAAGAGAAAAGAGTTAAACTAGAGTGTAGGCTAGTGAGATGTGACTCTGTGTGTGTGTGTGTGTGGGTGGAGAGAAAGCCTATGATTACACTTAGCTATCCACACTACACATATCACGAAATACAATCTTTGCATGCTTGGACTAATGCACCTTTGAACACCTGGCCGACTACAAAAACCTGTGGAGCTAGTAAAAACGTAATGTGCACCGATCTATATCGTAAACAACCTTAAACGTAATATCAAAAACCACTTTTAACACACGAGAGATACCGTGTGTTCTATAAATGGCAAAATAACTATAATTCACAGAAAAACAATGCATGAGTTAGACACAACTCCCATCGAATCAATGGGAGCCCTGAATTCGTGCAAAGTTAATAATGGAATTCATGAGTGTATGTATAAACTCAGACTTTTACTCACCGTAAACCAAAAGTTGTCCGGTGGCTGATTCCGTGGAGCCCCTGAAACATTCGTAGGTCCCGGAATCCTCACGTACCACGTCATACAACGTGAGCCTGTAACCTTCCACGTTGATTCTCTCGTCTCCCGATGGCTCCCCCGGGGTGTACAGGTCTCCATTTGGCCCTCTCCACGTTATTCCGGTCGCCTGCGAGCCGCCCTGGTTCTCCTGACAGAAAAAGTGGACCTGTTCGTCACCTTCGGGCTCAGCAATGCTCTCGGGATCAACATAGAGAGAGTTGGCAACTGCAAAACAAGACAAGGTTTATAATACAGTGATGAAGTCTCTCTTTGTGGTGTGGGAATGCAGCTTTTTGCTTGGTTGTGTCGTTTCAGTCTCATTCTTCCACATTGACTGTAGGGGTTCTGCCCTCACTAATACGGTATTGTTGGTAATGCGAAAAACTTTTATCGCTGCAAAATATTACTTTGAAAGTTTGTAGCCCTAAAGTGTTGTTTGGGGACAAGTTGAAAGATGACTTAGTTGATAAACGTGTTATTTTTATATGTGCCTCACTTTTGGTTTGTTTTCCAAGAAGCAGAAGAAAGATGGCCATCAGGTAGCTGACTCTGCCAAACCTCTGAGATAATCTTGAGCCAATCATCTGCAGAAGATGAACATCACGAGCATTTCACAATCAGCACAAATTGCCAAATGAACATATATACAGTATCCACTGCTTCATTTCAGGGAACTACAAAAACTATACCAAAATGTTTTGTCTCAAGCCACAGATTTTACAATACTGAAATTAGCATAATTAAATTTTTAGGCTAACAATTCCACCAGTCTGGGCCTCATTGTAGGGTCCAGAAGCTATAAAAACCATCAAGTCACTTCCTCTGGGGAATAATAATATACTCATAAAATCTAATTACGTGTGTTAAGAAGCCAAGTAGGGGAATATATATACCAGACCCTGTTTACTCCAGTCTCACGGGTTTGTAACAGTGTACTGCACACACTACTCTACTCTAATGCACACTACTCCTATTTCCACCTTACCTATGTAACCGAATAAGCTGCTGCTTTTGCAGTAACCTGCAACAGAAGTGCCCCCTTTTCCTTCCTCATGCTCCATTACTGCTTGTAACCAAAAGCTTGATTATGACAAGGATTGCACACGTCTATACTTTTCCCTCCACTGTAAACAGGGCAACTGTACCGACTGGTGACCTGTCGGTGCCCAAAACTTGGGTGGTGCTTTGAGCCAGTAGTTATCCGAAGAGTTTACACAAAGTGCCCCACGCATGGAAATCACCCCACCTTTTATATACAGATACACATCTATCTAGTTAGTCGAAGCTGGGGGGCTATTCACTCGAAAGGAACTGACAAAAACAACACTAATGACAAAATAATTATTCATTGATTAGCGCGATGCATACCACTGTATCCAAGGGGAAAATAGATGCACACAGAGGTATACTATACTATAGCTATACTAAATTGCTTCCCAGAACGCAATGCTGCATCTGGCCTGGCGCACGCACGACAACTAAGTGCCTGTGGCGCAGGATCCGATGCTCATGCAGTTCCGCAGTCTACCTTCGCTGCATGCAGGCTGCAGCTAAAACAGGTGTTATGCAGCGACGTCTAGATACGCGCAACGGCTTGCAGAAGTCCACGCAGCAATGGAACTTACCGCTAGCATCTTTGTCAGCCAACCAATTCTACTGCGAAGCGTACACAACGTGCAGAGAAGTCTTCAGCCTTCATATAATAGACTGCCAGCGAGAGCATCAAAGTTCCTTCTATCACCCACGCGCTGCTTTTATCGCGTTCGTGTTTTTACATAGGCGACACAAAAACACGCATGCGCACAAAACATAGGAAACAAAGCTAGCAATAATTAGGTGGCACGACAACAAAGCAGTCGTTGTGTACGTGACCGCTGGTGTCCATCCCTCCAAACACGAGCAGTCCAACCACCAACTCTCCACCAGTTTCATCTTCCTCTCCCTTCACCTCTCCTTCCACTCCTCCATTTGGACACGAAAGAAGATTTTCATTGCATGCCGAAAATTCACTCTCTCCTTTCTCCTTGGCCTCATCTGAGACATATTTTGTAACTTCAACTTTTCCTCCATCACCTCTAACACAATTTTCAGTCACAGCCATCCGTTTTTCTGTAGTTAAGTCATCATTTTCTTGTTCGCCATCTTCAGGGACTGCTCTCTCATTTTGTTCCGAAATGTCATCATTAGCTCCTGAATCGGTAGATTTTTCGATCGTTTGAGCATTTTTTATTGCATCGTCCTCAACATGAGGTGAAAGAACGGTAACAAGTTGAGGTTTCGATGACAAAGTAGAAGACGTGAGATGTGAGTTTTGTGAGTATTGTGACGAGGTGTAGTGTGAGGGTGGGAGGGAGGGGCTGTGACGGAGATCAAGTGTGATAGTTGCCATGGCGTGGTCTAGTCTTGCAGGCGGGGCAGCTCCTTCAATTTTCACCTCGTTCCATATCGTACTCGCTGCGAAAACAAACAAGGACCAAAACGTGAAACGGGATAGCCCTGAAAAAGGACACCACTAACTTTACCCATTCCAATCTTGATACACACATAAGACCCCTCATGAAATTGAAAAGAACTTACAAAATTGTTATGTAAACTTTGCGCGAAAAGTCCACAGTTTTGTTAAAAGCAAATGTTTGGCAGTATAATTATTATACAGAAACAGTGCATCTAAGGGGCCATCTTGAAAATATACATATTCACAGTATACAATACACACTCATATCCTCATTCTGTAGCCTGTTCACTACTTTTTAACAGAGCTGGCGCTCCAGAGATAATTATATTGCTGGGGAGACAATCGGCCCCCTGTATAGCAACTTAGCAAATTTAGAGGTGTCCCAATCTGCAATTTGGGGGGCAAAGGGGAAGCATATTATATACTTATTCAGGGGACAAATGAAGAACTACGTCCCCCTGACTGCATTAACAGTGTTTGAGTCGCATAATATGGCGGGTGTAAGCTCTTCCTTGTTTTATCACACGGAGCCTGGGAACAAAGCTATAATTCCAACCTGTGTCAAAGCAGTAGAGGATGCTGCATGCACCGCTAGAAGTAAGTCCTCCAAATGTGTAGATCTGGCTTCCTATAACTGCACAGCCGTGGGCTGCAAGAGCAGGCGATGGTGTAGCACCGTTTAGTGTAGGCTGGGACCACTTTAACTGCTCTGTGTGTGTGTGAGACAGAGGGGGAGGATAGATAGGCTATCATTTAGTGCAAAGCACAGGTATTTGGTATATGTTACCCCAGCAACCCTATATATTATAGTAGTAACCCAATCGCCTGCCACATGCAATACTAGTGGAGTGGGTTTAGTATCTGTGTGCGTGTGGCTTAGTTTACACTGCAAGGTAACTTGAGTATTATAGTTAGCTGCTGGGACTGACAAATGTGTCAAAAACAGCAGCTGCAGAAACACAATTTGGGTATTTTCATCCATAGCTATACTATACTGAAAATTACCCAACCTTCAGCTGGTTATTTCAGTTGCACACAATCAACATCCTTGGAAAAACAGAGTGTTCCTGGGTACTGTTGAGCCTTGTGACTTCTTTGCTTTTTACATGCAGTGAGCACATTTACTAGCTTGTTTGGTGTAATACCTCAAGATATGACTTTAAGTTTAACACTACATTTTGTTATGTGAACTTGATAGAGCAATAGTTCTAGTATAGCTGCTATACAATAGTTCAGAGCTGACCTAGGTGTAAGGTATAGAGGCTGGACAGAATTTCGCCATCAGAAGTCATTCCTCCGTGGACATAGAGAGTGTCTTGTACCACTGCTAGTATGTGACCTTGTCTAGGTGATGGCAGTGGGCCCGTCTGTTTCAGGTTTAACCCAGGTGTGGCTTACTTTAGAGAGACAGGGAGGGAGGGGTAGAAAGGAGGGAGGGAGAGAGAAGGAGGAAGGAGAGAGAAGGAGGAAGGAGGGAAGAAAGGAGGGAGTGATTGAGAAGGAAAGGGGAAAGGAGGGTAATGTGGAGGGAGATAGAAAGAAGAGGATAGAGTGTGGAAGGAAGTGGGGTAGATGGAAGTGGGGTAGACAGAGAGTAAGAAGGTGTAGGGAGTGCATAAAGAGGAAATAAACAGGAATACCTCAGAGGGGGGACAGAAGCCAAATCCTAGACATACTCGAGCCTTCCCCAAAAATACCCTGGGGATGTAATTTTCATAACACAAACAAGAATTTAAGCAAGGTAGAGCACTCTGTGTGTTCTAGAGAGGGCTCTACCAACTGAGGCAGCTCAGCTGGCCGGGTTGAATCACTCATACAGAGCAAGGCAGAGCACTCTGTGTTCTAGAGAGGGCTCTACCAACTGAGGCAGCTCAGCTGGCCGGGTTGAATCACTCATACAGAGCAAGGCAGAGCACTCTGTGTTCTAGAGAGGGCTCTACCAACTGAGGCAGCTCAGCTGGCTGGGCTGAACCACTCATACAGAGCAAGGCAGAGCACTCTGTGTTCTAGAGAGAGTTCTAGTGCTACACCCACTCACCCATATCAAACAGATAAACGGAGTTGTCCAGTGTCTTAGTACCGCAGTCACCACCACTGAAGACGACCATCTTGTCCTGCCAGACACATGTGGAGGAGTGGTGTGTTCTGGCATCAGGGACCTCACCAGTCACAAAAATCTTCCTCCATTCACCACCATCTGTTGGTTTGATTATGCCAGTGTGCTACGGTATGATAAGCAGGACCCCACGTATTGATGTACGCATAGCAAAACGCCTGCTTTAAATTGAAACCCCCACGAGACATGTATACTAAAGTAAAATGTTTGTTTTTTATGTTTTGCACCATAAGCAGGCGAGGACATACATAAAATTTGGGGAAACAGCTACAGCAAAAAAGCTTTCCTCAAAGAGGCTCTTTTGATTGTAGACATACAACATTTTCCACGTCGAATGCAGGTTAAGCAAGGCTACTTCACAACAATAGCGTTGTACTGTTCTGGGCATGCTCAGTAACGCCACTGCTTAGTTGGTAAACAACATTCAATAGCCAGGCCAGCAAATGGAAAGTGCACCAGGAGTAAGGGACAATCTTAGTCTACTAGGAAGTAATGATTTTGATTAACTCAAAGTCCCAATGATGTAATCACTCCAGCAAAATCGTAGTAAAAATTCCTTATATGATAATATAGTACACAAAACCTGGAAATCTAGGTGGTAACTCAGGGGACTGCATAAATGAAACATAACCATGACAAACAGGAAGTTTGCATTAATACTACGTCCCTTTCTATATCCTTTCACACGTACTCACCTGTATCCAGTTAGCTTCATGTGGTGCACTAATAAGTGGTCTGTACATTGGCCTTATACACAAAATTCCAATGATGTAATGTGTGTTTTAACCTGCACTACAAGTCCACATGTCTGATAGTGGACCATTTTCCTGAGCTCCAGCAAAAACAAAGACTTCATCTCCACCAGGACCTAGTACCAGTGTGTGCTCATATCGAGGAGGGAGGAGGGTCGAAGGTAGCTTCTCCCACGAAATCGAACCTGTGGTGATCAAATACATATATTTAGCGCATGCGATTATGCGAGTGTAATTATAGCGCATACCGGAGTCAATTTTTAGTCTGTGGAGATCGGAGAAAGTTTCCTCGGGCGAGGCTCCTGCGCAAAGTAGTGCGCAGCCCACCTCTCTGGTCCGTACGGCCGCGGAGCCAACCCTCGCTGCTGGGCAGCCTTTCTCACACGCAACTGCATACCAGAGCCCGGGCCTCGGGGACACGTCATTCTCCAGAATAGGGTGTAGCTCGAAGTCCATTCCTGTGAGCAGCAGTGCTCAGAGTCTTCTTTGCTTTGCAGCGCTGGTCGTCGTCCCGCTTTTCTGTCGTCTAATTAAACGAAATTTGTTACAATTTTCTTAGTTTCCTTGACTACATATAAGTGCGCATGCGTAATATTCGCTTGTTACGTCATACAGCAAATCTCGTGACCTCTCACATGATGGTGGTTTGTTGCTGACTGTTTTCTGCCAGCAGTGAAGACGATGGATCGAGGAAGCTTCGTCCGTGGAGCTTTTCTACTTCTGCCGTTGTATCTGTGTTCGTGCAGTGCCTCCGTACCGCTGCTAGCCTGGTCAAATACGTACGTTAGGGGGGAGGGGGCATTATTTGGGGTTCACCACCAATCAGAACACCAAGGCCAAAGGGACAGAAGAAGGTAGAGAGGTGTCCTTATTTCAGGTCTTCTGGGGTCCATTTGCATGCAATAAACTGTTCTTACGTAGAAAAGTAGTCCTTATCAGAGAGGTTTTCGAGATCCTACTCTCTTCCTCTACTTCATAACTTTCTTTCACACTATTTCAGAGGGATATTCTCGCAGGTCTCTGCTGACGACCTAAGCCGAACGTACTGGCTACTGAACCAAAAGTCTGGAGAACTCTCCAAACTTGACTTTATACTAGTTTTCGCTTCCGGGAAGGTAAATGAGAAATAATTCGATGGTCACGTTTGTGAGTGTTCTGTCTCTCCATCCTGTAGCTGGATTTTGATGACATTGCCCGATATGGTGGTCTCTACAGTGATGAAATAGAGTCGCCACTAGCTCCTTTACAGGTGAGGCGTTTTAAACAGGGATGTCTCCTTCCCTCTTGGGTGAGAGGGGAGGAGGCGAATAGATTTAGAGAGGGTAGTGCATTCAAATAATATTTAGCATTTTGTGTTTTTTTTGCCACCGAACACATGCATTGGACACACAAAACGTTCTTGTGGTGTTAGCCTTAGCAAATGCAGAATGTGAAACTCTCTCTTCTCTCTCTCTCTCTCTCTCTTGCAAAATGTGGAACTTGTTTCTCTCTCCTTTCTCTTCTCTAGTCTGCCATGGAGTCAGCAGAGTCCAGTGTCTGGGGAAAGATGGAGGGAAGCAGCAGTTTCATCGAAGACATATCTCACTTCACTTACACCTCTCCACTCTACCTGCCCTGGCCTGCAGGTGTATTTACTGTTTTGTACATTATTTCATACAAATACCCACCTTTTTGATGAAACCCGGTGATTTTCATGAGCACGTGATGGTCACATTAGTCCAGTTTTTTACTTTTGTAACTCTCTTCGAAATATATGCGAGTGTTATATACTAATTGTATTGCCTTCAACCCAACGATAGACAATAGGTTTACCAAAACGTACTAAAGTTGGTACATAATAATAATAAACGTGTACACTGCGTGTGCTGAGTTATGTAGGTAGCTACCACTGATTTTTAACCTTTGGACGCCATGGGTATCTGCTTAAATAAGCAGAATTTTATGTATAAAGTATTAGCACCTAGTATTATAACCCCCATATAAATTCTTATGAGGGTCTGGACACGTTTGTGACTGGTTAGGTGTTAAGATGCTTGATAATCATTTTACTCTCTCCTCTCTTCTCTCCTCTCTTCTCTCTTCTCTTCTCTCCTCCAGACCCAAATCAACTGAGGAAAAATCCGTACAATGTTAATCTGGTGGTGGTCGAACTACTTGACAGTTGGGACCCCGAGACCTCACTTTCAGAACATGGTACAATTACTTTCACTTTCCATCTCTTAGCGAAATCTCTTCAGTAGCACTATAATAATTTTAGGATAATAACTGTTGTAATTTGCGTGATTTTCTAAATACAAGAAATTTTAAGTAGTTGTGTGTTCGCTCACCAAAAATGCATGCATTCGTACACTATAGGTGAATTACATGTGCTATATACTACAATGTACAGGTGCAGTGATAGGTCATGTGATGAAGAGTATGGACGATCTCGGAGCTAACTATGCTGCCTTCTACGGAACTATTACTCGCCACCAAAACAGAGAAAAGGTGTGTAGCAAACCATCATCACTGAGTACAGTAGTACTTAGTATATAGGGATGGGGATGGTACCTAGCATCAAAGATGTATGGGGCTATGATAGGTACCTACACATTTATTTTATGTCCCTTCTTTTCTACGAAAAATGTAGAAGTCGTGTGTAGGAGTCGTAAAATGCGGAAGTTAAACCCCGCAAAGTTGACGTTTGTTAAATTTTGCATCCTGAAAATTTTTACACTCTGCTGTCTTTTTCTCACTTCCCTCTTTATTTTACCGCCGTCCTTTTTTTTTACACACAGCGCTCCAGTAACATGGTCCCACCACATATCTTGTCCGCTTTGAAGAACACGGCGAGCAATGAAACAGCCAAACAAGTGTGTAACCGAACTGCCATAATCTACGAGCAAACCACTAACCAAACGGACGTCAAAACCACCTTCTGCTCTCTTCTCTGCATGCGCTCCACCGTGCGGGCGTACTTGAACGTGACTGGAAATGACACGGCATACGAGCCGCTATTAGCTGTCTACTGGCCGAGCTGGGTGTACCAGCAAGACATGAAAAACAACGAGAGTGACATCGACAAAGGGATATATCCTCCGAATTACCACTGCAACATGACGGGGCTTGAATTTGAGTGAGTTTTTGAAGATATTTCAAACTTGAATGTAGATTGGTTTCGCTACCTTTGCTAAAATAGAGAAGGCTCTACTATATTCATGCTAGAGTCACTCAAACTGCCCTGGCGCTGGATTTCTAGTTTCATGATCTCTTTCTCTCTTCCTTCCTCCCTCCCTCCTCTCTCCCTCCCTCTTCTCTCCCTCCCTCCTTCTTCCCTTACTCCTCTCTCTCCCTTCCTCCCTCCCTCATCTCTTCTCCCTCTCGTTCCATTTCAGTGAGACGGAAATGTACTGTCAGAATTCATCTATACAAGAAGAGTATCTCAGCCAAATGAACCTAACATCCAACAGTGTAACTGCTTACTTGAAGGGCAATTGTGGAGTTGCAGACGACACTGAAAATATCACTGAAATAATGCTGAAAGTAGAGTAAGTTTTGTAAAATGCACTGGAACCTCCAAATAAAGGACACGTGGGACCATCACGAAAATGTCTTTTATTCAGAGGCGTTCTTTAGTAAGTGGTCAACAGCCTTGTTACACAGGCTTACAACATTGAAATTTGAACTCCTCTTGTTGTAACTAAACCCCTAAGTGTCATTTAAAAAAGGCCCTAAATAATACGTATTAGCACAACATTGAAACAAATAGAGAGAGAGAGGTGGGCTTTATTTAGAATGTCCGTTACAAGAGGTTGCTTGTCCATCTTTTTGTTGTAGGTTCATTTTCTTTGGTGGTGGAAGTGACGTGGCAAAGAAACCAAAGGGACTACCGTTTGCTCCGTTGCCTGGGAAACAACTGCTGATGCCCGGTTACTGGACCATGCAGCTTGTGGTTACCAACGTTACCAACGTTACCGACGACAAGAACAATGCGTCACACTACCTCACCCGCTATAGGACTAACATCGACCTCTCAAAGAGAAACAGTTCAGGGTCACCTATTGTTGAGAAGAGGTGTATACATACATACATATACTTATTACTTTGTGGATTTTCTTTTGTGGGAAAAGAAGAAAGAGTGGAAGTATTAGAGCTTAGCAAATTTTAAATTGTGTGATTTATTTGATGGCCCCAAATTTATCTGGTTCATCTACAGCTTAACACTTAATCAGCCATGGACACATAAATGTGTCCAGAGCCTCCATAAGTCCATAAGAATTTATATCGGGGTTATAATACTAGGCGCTAATACTTCAAACGTAAAATTCTGACAAGATACCCATGGTGTCTAATGGGTTAATTAAAGCTTAATTTTTACCCCTAAGTCGTAAAATTTTTTCCTTTTCTCCCCAATAATTGAACGGTCAATATCATTTTTCGACATTTTGACGTTCGTTTTTCTCCCTATTTCTCCATTCAGAGGTCTATTCTACCCGTTCTCCATACCGTTCTATGTATCGTACTCGTGTGTCACTCACAAGGACAGACTGTGGCACGCACAGGGGAACCTCAACAGATTCGTGCCGACTAAACTACCTTTCAACGCCAGCAGCGATGGTTTGGTACCTCTTGATGTTGCCGACGGCCCTGTGCTTCAGTTCGTTGGATTTCAAGTCAGTTTGACTATGTTGGGAACCCCTCTAATCCGGACACAATATGACTATGAAAAGAGTGTCCATTCTACTGAGTTGTCCTTATTTCAGGGTTACATTGCACGCAAGAACTGTTCTCGGGGGTAAGAAAAGGTGTCCTTATTAGAGAGGTGTCCTTATTTCAGGGCATGCAAGAACTGTTCTTGGGGTAAGAAAAGTTGTCCTTATTAGAGAGGTGTCCTTATTTAAAGGCATGCAAGAACTGTTCTAGGGGAAAGAAACGGTGTCCTTATTAGAGAGGTGTCCTCATTTCAGTCCACTGCATATATACAAAACGTAGGACTCTTAGAATTTGTATATAATAATAAAGATGTGCTAAGTCTATTTGCAGACGTACAGTGGAACTTTCAAATACCCTTGTCCTTTGTACAGACTGTATAATAATGGTAGCCACATTTACAGCTTGCTGCCACTAAAACTCTGTTTTTTTGCACACTTTTTCATGTACTCGTTCTTCTCAACTCTAGGTCCAGTCATACGGCAATGTGTATGGAGCCCACAACGAAACGCGGTTTCTTGCCTTCAGCACCGTCTACGATTGTGAGGGCTACTTCGACGTCGCCAGCTGGATGGGAACGTTTGTGACCGTCATCTTCATCATCGTGCTCTATTTCGCAATACTCGCCCTGTTCTCCACGCAGACTGTCGATCGATTCGACGATCCAAGAAGTCGTACGATATCAGTCGAAAATCTCCACTAGAACTATACAATTATACTACTTGTATACTAGGGATTATATATACCCATACATGAGTGCCCGATTTTTGATGTTTTGGAAGTTGTGTGTGTTCTACTCCGTTTATGCATGGATTTTTCGTTTTTGTTGAGATGATGTGTAATTTTTAGCCATGTGCGTAATGATGTGCTGCTTCCACTATTGTCCGGTCGCGCGCGAAAATAAACAGACGTTTTACGGAGAGCGTGCGCGGTGTTGAATACGTGGGCGAGGTCAGAGTTCATTTGTGGAAGTCACGCACGCGCACGGAAGTACGTGCGGGTGTTAAGGTTTGAGCTGAGAGCTCACCCGATACGGAAACTTCCGTTCAGTGCGTCACTGGAAACTCGCGGGAACCTTTTCCGTGTGCACTGTGGAAAGATTCCCGGTAGATCTACGTTTGCAATTTAACCCTTTCCCGCCCTTCCGTCAACGTGGTCCGTTAGTCAGCTTCTCCCCCGGCCAACGGCTGCCGTCGGCTCTGCGAGACATGTCTGCTACCACTAGAGAATGTCCTTTTCCCGACAGCATAAATTGGGACTCTTCTATCCCTATATGCAAGTGGAATGACGGGATGGGGCGAAAAACAGCAGAGAAACTATTTCAGAAGAGCTGGTTTAGTGCGAGTAGTATTCCTGGTGAATATCTGGCCTGGGTTCTAGGTTCCCCAGTGAGTGTGTGGGCCTGAGTTCTACAGGTTCCTCAGTGGTTTAGTGGGCCTAGGTTCTATATGTTCCCCAGTGACTGTGTGAACCTGGGTTCTAGGTTCCCCAGTGAGTGTGTGGGGCCGAGTTCTAGGTTCCCCAGTGAGTGTGTGGGCCTGAGTTCTAGGTTCCCCAGTGAGTGTGTGGGCCTGAGTTCTAGGTTCCCCAGTAAGTGTGTGGGCCTGAGTTCTAGGTTCCCCAGTAAGTGTGTGGGCCTGAGTTCTAGGTTCCCCAGTAAGTGTGTGGGCCTGAGTTCTAGGTTCCCCAGTAAGTGTGTGGGCCTGAGTTCTAGGTTCCCTCTCCCGTGGTTTAGTGGGCCTAGGTTCTAGGTTCCCCAGTGAGTGTGTGGACCTGAGTTCTAGGTTCCCCAGTAAGTGTGTGGGCCTGAGTTCTAGGTTCCCCAGTGAGTGTGTGGGCCTGAGTTCTAGGTTCCCCCGTGGTTTAGTGGGCCTGGGTTCTAGGTTCCCCAGTGAGTGTGTGGGCCTGAGTTCTAGGTTCCCCCGTGGTTTAGTGGGCCTAGGTTCTAGGTTCCCCAGTGAGTGTGTGGGCCTGAGTTCTATAGGTTCCCCAGTCAACCCTCTTTGTAGGTTGTTTTTCACTCCTCTTTTGTAGTATGACGAGTTGGATGGTCTTGGCTTCAAAGGCTTTGCTGTGGCTTTCCATAAGGAGTATGCACACTGCACAGATCATTGGCACATCTGGCACTGTGGAGACATTCACCCCAGCTGTGCATGAATATTTACATGCTTTAGTCACTGTTGGTAAGTGCATTCGATTTATTGGAGATGGATCGCTCATCAATATGTGTACTTTGCAGCTCATCCTCCACCACTACAAATGCCAACATCCCAAACATCCATCAGCCACAAAAAACCTTCCTCTAACACCTCCATATCACCCTCATTGGTCACTGTCACATCCAAACCATCCTCCTCCAACCCTCCTCAATCATCTTTATCTAAGTCACATAAGTCAAATCCTCCAAAATCATCCCCTTCTTTCTCCAACACTCCAAATTATCCTCGTCTAAGCCTGTTTTCCCCAAACCAGTCACATCCAAGCCATCCTTTTTTAACCCTCCTCAATCATCCTCATCTAAGTCTTCCTCCTCCAACGCTCCTCAATCATCCTCATCTATGTCTTCCTCCTCCAACGCTCCTCAATCATCCTCATCTATGTCTTCCTCCTCCGACGCTCCTCAATCATCTTCATCCTTCTGAAGTCAAGACATGAATGGTTAAGTGACAGCCACATGTACGCAGTGCAATGCTTACTCGGTGATCAAACACGAGGAAAAATTGGGGGGTGGCAGAGCACACAGCTAGGGATATTTGATGCATTTAAACCTCTACCCAAACATTCAGCATTCATCCAAATCCTTCACATATCAGATTGTCATTGGGCTGTTGTTTCAAATCTTAAAATAATGGGAAAAAGAGTGCATGCAAAAAATCTGTCACATACTATGATTCCCTGTGACCACTCAATGTGACCCCACAGGTTCGAAAAACCAGTTTGTTCATTTTTCAAGTCTGATTGCTCAGTTTTGCATTTCGATGTTGCTGATATCATGAGACAGCCTAACTCCAATGATTGTGGAGTGTTTGCAGCAGCTGTTGCATATTATGAAGATGAAACATGGACTTGTAAGCCATGTTCAGACCTCCTACATCACCTGAAATGTTAGCTATAATGTGTGTGTCAATGATGCTTCTGATAGCTCAGACTCTGAGTATGAGAGCTCAAGTGACGGTGAATAGCTGGATTAGTCATGGATAGCTACTGTTATAATTACCAACTTAATTCAAGATCCATAATCAAGAGAATTATTTACATCAATGAACACTGTGGATGAACATAGACCATAGAGACACAGTGGCCCCAACTATCATACATGTGTCCAGTGTCCACTAAAGGGTGAGACTTTGGGACAGCAATCACAGAGGCATAAGCAGACACAGCTATTGATCGAAAAAGCTCAACTTCCAGATGAAGTTTCCTTAAGAGAGAGATGCAACCTCTGTGAAACTGACTTGTTCCACCACTTGTGATCTTGTGCAGTACAGAAATAATTTTCTTTTCCTTCTCACTGTAGTAGTCGATCACATTATGCATTTCAGTTTGTAGCAAAAGAAGCTCTTCATCGCATCTTTGAGTCTATATATG